AACTAGGAATGTCCAACTTCTATATTCGATGCAAAAACCTATCAAATCAAGTCCGATTGACTTCAAATTTTGCACACAAGTCATAAATGATATAACGAAGCTATAAAAAATTTCATAACTAGATTCCGACTCCGATATCAAAAAGTCAACTCTAGGTCAAACTTTCCAAAAATCTTCTATTTTTCAACTTTTGCCAAAATGCGCCAAATTATCCTACAGACTTCCAAATCCAAATCCGAACATGCGCCTATGTCCGAAATCACCATACAAAGCTATTGGAATCATCAAAATTCCAATCCGGGATCGTTTGCTCAAAAGTCAAATCTCCGATCAAACTTAAGAAATCTTTAGCCTTAGATTTCTAGATTCCGTTAAATGGCGATAATTTGAGTTAGGGGCCTCCGAATTCGATTTCGGGCATATGAACAAGTCCAAATCATGATACAGAACTACCAGAATGGTCAAAACTCAGATCCGGGTCTGTTTGCTCAAAATATTGACCGAAGTCAACTCAGTTTAGTTTTAAAGCTCTAATTTACAATTTAATGCATTTTTCACATAAAACCCTTCCGAAAAATTATACGGACTGTGCACGCAAGTCCAGGAATTGTTGATAGCGCTTTCAAGGTCTTAAAACATTGAGATGATTATTTAATTTAAAGATGACATTTTTGGTCATCATAGCACAATAGTGTAATATCTTCACCTCAAGATTTGACTCACAAGTACCATGTATTATTCACAACTTACTTACTTACTCTAACATAGAGGTCCACAATATTGTCTTTCCTTCATGAATCAAGTGCCCTCACACAATAAAAAAGAGTAGTTCCACACACCATAAAAGTTAAGAACAATTTAGGAACTCAAGATAGAAAGAATCCACTCACTCTCAGAAATAACTTTCATATGCCACAAAAGATGCACCATAGGCTTGCACGTAGTGTACTACTCTACTAATCGAGCTCATTCAGTCTAGGATCAAGTAGTACTTTATTTGGTTGTAATGTAGGCTGAGGGACGGGTATGATACATTTAGATATAAGAGTGACTATCCTAAACACTTTAATACATACATTTTAACAATTAGAACCCCACTTATGTCAAACCAAAACTCCACCTTCACATCAATGTATATTACCCCATACTTCTTTAAGCACAATTACATCAAGAACCACCACTTATTAAGGAATATTTTTTGCAAAAATACAACTATTTTTTTCTTTCTTTTCTTTTTCTTTTCCAATTCAAGTGGCTCTTACTTTTTCAAAATAGTGCACATTTCTCCTTATCTCATTAGTTCCACTCAAAAGCCAAACCAATCATCTCATACTTTAACTTTTACAAAGTTCATAACAATTCAAGTGCTCATGAGAGGTGAAAAGGTTCGAATAGATGATTAATTCAAACAAAGGGGTAAGGCTTGTAATGTGGTTGCCAAAGAAACAGGATTACATGCTCAAAGGGGTTAACTACGTTACATAACAATTAGGCGGGTAAATTATATATCTGGCTCAGCAAAGAAATGCCTATATCACTCCAAGACTAAACAAAACTACTATTTCGCTTTGCAAACACACGGGGCAAGTTCTAGACATCAAATGCAATGCACAGAATACAACAAACCTCACACACACATGGCACATAACTCACTCAAGATTGGACTCATCAAGACACTCTAGTCAAAGCAGTTAAGCAAATTTAAGATCATACGATTTAAGGTACTTATACTAGAGTCAAAAACTAAGTCTAAGCATCACAACCAAAATACTCATTATTCTCAAGGCATAACAAAGTCAAGAGATATTGCTTCAGTTCAATTCATATCACCATGGCTCCTACTCCTAAAAAAACTTACTACACCCGGTTCAAACAAAACTCTTGGAAAAGAATCGCGGCACAAAGAAAAATCAAGAGGGAATTACTACACTACCTACAAAGAAATCTTTTTTTTTTAGACTTAAATCCCTCAAGAAAATTGTCTTATAGATCCATCGTCGGGAACAGTCCAATCTTTTTTTTTCTAAAAAAAATATTATTCAATTAAACTAACATAGGTAAAATAGCATAGAAAGTCACCCACACAATCTCTTCACTTTGTAAAATTTGCACTACCGTGCCGCATGGGACAAGGCATCATGCGGGGTGGCAGTGGGAAAGTTCAGATTGCTAATTTTGACAGGCTACAGGAAATTTCCACAGGCGCGGCGCATCACGCGCTGCTCTACGCACCGCGGTAATGGGAATTCGTGAAAATTCAAAACACGAAAGTTGTAGCCCTTTCAAATAACTTTCCAACGATATATTGTGGAGCCCAACGGAGTTCTGAACGAACAGTTATGTGCATTTTACTAGACAATACGTCGTATGCCCGCTCGATTCTTTGTTTCGTTCTTAACTATCATCTGTTGATCCCAGAACACGATCCCGGCTTAATTCCTTGAGCTTTTACTTAGACTTCAAAACTCCAAATCACTTGAATTCATTCCATAATATCTATATAGCTCGAAATCACTCCTAGAAGGCATAAAATACACAATTAAGTGCAAAACATTAGCAATTAAAGCTCAAACTCAACTAAAGTGCAGTAAATTAGAGTGTAATAAGCGACTAAAATATGCAATTATAGCCTATCATCAAATATTTTAATAGGTTACGTGGGTTGGATCGTAGACTCGACCCATTTGACAGGTCTAATCGGGCCTGAAGTTTTAATTGTACGGGTCTGAGGTTTGTCTTGGACAGTTTAAAAACATCTTAGTTTAAACTTCCTTGTTCTTTATAAGTATTTCGCTCTTAACTATCAAATATATTTCTTAATAAATACCTACATCACTGAATGGAACAAAATTTGGACCTAAAAATATTCCCGAACCTTCATGCAACTGAAAAAATCAGAAATAGCTTAATTTACAATTGTTAATTGAAAATCACCGACAATTTCAAAAGTAAACAAAATTTAGTCATTTTTTCAAGTAAAGATAAAATTTGAACGAAAGTTCCAATATAATATACTGGAAATAGGGGTGTACATGGACCGAGTTGGTTAGGTATTTATTAAAACCAAACCAACTATATCGGGTTGGATTGGTTCAGTTTTGTCGAGTTTTTCGAATTTTTTTGTTACGTGAATATTATTTCAATCTTACTTTGTTAAACTTTTTATAAGTAAATATATGTTTAGTAAAAATTGAAAAAAATGACAAACATATGATCTATTAAAATATTTTTATGGTAGAATTTTGTTAATAACACATGATAGTTATTTTTTTAGTCGTCTGACAATAATTTTTCGTTGATGTATACATACAAGGTTAAACTTATTTAAAAATTAAATATAAAAATCAATATGATATCTAATTAATGATAAGTTCTATTTAATTTTAGATTATCGAAATATCACTTCAAATTCGAAAAAGATATAAGAATTTAATAAATCTTGACATATGAACATGGAAGAACAAACAAATTAACGCATTTCAGTAATACTTGATAAGAAAGTGATCATATAACCCATTATTTAAGGCTAATAAAAATGGAGCACTTCATATTTTATTAAATATTATATTCCATAAGAGAATCCTAAATATTTCTAAAAATTTTGTAAAGAAAATTCTATATAAAGTCTTAAAAGTATATATAAAAATTATATATTTATATGTCGGTTTTGTTCGAATTTTTTACTCACTACCAAACCAAATCAAACCAAACCTAGTCGGATTTTTTAATCGGTTTGGTTTGATGCAGTTTTCCGGTTCAGTTTATACACCCCTAGCTGGAAGTTTATACGCAAGAACTCCATAATTCAGCATATTGTGCTGGAACTTTTTGTGCTTCAGCTACGATATTTTTGCCCAGATTTTATGTTATTTTTGTTCAGATTTTATCTCCGCATAAAATAGCTATTTTTTAATAACTTTACAAACGTTGGCTATTTTCAATTACTAGACAGAAAACTAACTAGCCCATGCTATTTTCGCTGTAAGGTTCTCCCGTGTTATTTAACTGCAATAGCATTTGTAATGGACTACAAGATAAAACTCCGTTGAACTGAAACAAACCAATCTCGAGAAATTAATTCACCCACACAATATCGAACCATGCTCCATTATATTACAAATTCAAGCCTTATCGACGGTGTTAATGGGGAAAAATACGGCTTCACCTTAATCTTATTGATTAATAACGCTCATCTTTCCCAAAATGTAAACGTATCCAGTCATCTGCATAAATATGCAGGAACAGGCATAACCTTAAGTAAGAAATATTTTAGCCAAACCCCACTTCATACTTTAGCAGATACCACAATGCAAAATGGATACTTACAAATCTTGCACCCTCAATGCGTACACTAGCTTTTACATTCGTATGATTCTTCAAACTAGCAAACATATAATTACTTAATGGAACATTTCAGCTCAAAAGTAAATTTGACAGCAAAATGAATATGCTATCATTTTATCTAATATCTTCAACTATTTTGCTTTTCATTACTTTCACCGTAGAAAAAAAGAAGGAAAACAAAAAGAGCAAGACGGCAGCTGATTTTTAGAGGTATAACAAAGGAGGATGTTGTCCAAAGTTTCCCTTGTCAAACATTCAGTCATACAAAACCAAATATATTAATTTTTCAACTAGAAAATATAGAGGAGCATTGTACAACAAATATATGACTGAACAAACGATAGGACGCATAGTCCAAAGAGCTTTGCATTTGAAGTGCAAAACACACTGAAGAGATGGTCCAAACAGCCAAAAGAATCATAGAGATAAATGACATTTTCATCAAGCAGCTCTTAGATTTAAAACACAATTTGCAAGAGCCAACCTCTAGCGCATCAACGACATAAACAAAATAAATCAGATTTTACGGAAAATAGTCGAAGACATGCCATACTCATACCATTTTGTATCAAAAAGTTGAATTGAATAAATACATAATACCAAGCCTTGCTTACCACAAATAAATAAATAGATAAATGTGCATAAAAAGTAGTAAATGCAAGAAAAGAGACCACTCCCAAGTCATAACCTACTTGTCAAATCTTGAGACAAAGACCAGTGTTTGCTTGGTAAGTGTCTCAAACCAGATATGTACAAATTACAATCACTAATCTTATCACAAAATGGCTTATGAAAAGGTGTCTCAATCCACAAAGTTACCTAAAATTACATACTTCAAGAACTAAATTCGCCCGGACACCTGGGGCAGACCTCTGCTAGAATGAGATAAAAACTACACGAGGTCAGGACAAACTTCATACAAATGGAGATTTATATCCCTAGCAATATCATCTCACTAGAAGTTCGATATCATCTCTATCACCTGACCGAAAACTAGAGTTGGAAGCCAGAGCTCTTCTCTACTACTCAGACGTCTTCTAATTGCTAACCTAGAGACCTGAGGTCCAAACAGGATAATACGAAATTTGGAGAACCGAGCACAACAAGCTTCATAGTGAAAACAGAAATTGATTCCTAGTACTGAAATGAGAAAGCAATGTCCTAGACTGGTACAAAGTGCTGAAAGCCAGAGCCCTTATCTACTACTCATAGTGTCATCCTTGGTGTGAACCTAGAGACCTTCACTCCAAGGACTGATGACTCAAAAAAAAAGGAGTTGAACTGAATCCTGACAAGCATCATAACAGAAACAAGAAATTGATTCCTAGTACTGAAATGAGAAAGCAATGTCCTAGACTGTTACAAAGTGTTGAAAGCCAGAGATCTTGTCTACTACTCATATTGTCATCCTTAGTGTGAACCTAGAGACCTTCACTCCAAGGACTGATGACTCAAAAAAAAAGGAGTTGAACTGAATACTGACAAGCATCATAACAGAAACAAGAAATTGATTCCTAGTACTCAATCTATCAAGAAGAAAGAGTTCAAACACAAGGATAATCCTTTACACAAACAGAAGCACTAATTATGTCCAAAAACAAACTAGCTTAAGAGAACAGGAAGGGGATGAGAAGGACAACAAGGAAGCCGAAGAGTCTAGAAGATAACTGAACACAACACCAATGGGTCACTGATTTGGCAGAAAGAACAGAGACACAGCAACACAAAGCAAAAACTAACTTTAGAATTCGATTTCATTGGGGCTACCTATGAAAGATAACAAGAAATGAAAAGATGTATGGTGACAAATGTTTTCTAAGTTTTGACAATCAAGAGAAAAATATTACAAATCTTCATACATTCATGACAGTGAGAAACCTTAGCTGCATTTGTAGAATTATATCTGTCGAAGTAAAGGATGCCATGAAGAATATGAGGTTAGAAAAAATATGCAGTCTAGACGGTATATTCAAGCAGAGCCTTGGAAATCGTAAAAGTAGTTTGGCCAACCCAGCCATTCAATGTCGCATCAAGGAGCAAGAAGCATGTTAAATGAGTGGAGAGGGTACATTGTTTGACATATAGTAACAAAGGAGATATTAAAAATTGTATGAACTAGTGGTATTACACTTATGAGTCCTCTATGAACCATTAGAAAATGGTAATATAGTAGACCTAGGGACATTAGAGAGTGATGGAGAACCGGTTTGAAATTGTGCTTGGTTGATCTACAACAGAGTTTATATTTTTCTACTTAAAGATTGATAGAAACTTATAAGGAGCAGAAAAATAATCTCCAGGTGATCTTTAGTGACCAAGAGAAACATAGAATAGAATATCAACAGAAATATTGTACTGGCTACTTGAAAAGATAAATTCAGTTATGTACCAGGAACGGTCAGCTGGTCAGAACTACGAGAAACACGAGAGAAAGTAGGTTTCAATTAAAAATCACCTTGAAATTGGTTTTTGCTTCCCCTAGTGATGGAACAGTAAACTAATTGGCAATAGTATACTAGATAATGTTCCATTGTACATGATACTTGAACGTTACTACATTAGTTCACCGGACTTGGAAGGAATCAACCAAAAGCTGAAACTATAGAAAAGCACTCCAGAGAGTAGAGAATTTAGGATAAGACAAACTATATGCGTTGGAGCATAAGTTTAGTGTTGGGGTCCATGAAGCAGAAGTGGACGTGAAGCTGGATACACAAGTCATCCCCAGGAGAGATAGTTTCAAATATCATGGGTCTGTGATACAGGGTAACGGGGAGATCGACGAGGATATCGCATATCGTATTGGAGCGGGATGGATGAAACGGAGGCTCGCTTCTGGTGTTTTGTGTGACATGAATGTGCCACCTAGACTTAAGGACAAGCTCTATAAAGCGGTAGTTAGACAGGCCATGTTATATGGAGCCGAGTGTTGGCAAGTCAAAAAATCTCATGTCCAGAAGTTGAAAGTAGCGGAAATAAGGATGTTGAGACGGATGTGTGGGCATACTAAGAAAGATAAGATTAGGTACGAGTATATTATCGACAAGGTGGGCGTGGCTCCTGTAGAAGATAAGTTGCGGGAATCGAGGCTAAGATGGTTCGGAGATGTGAAGAGGAGAGATCATGATGCTCCGTTTAGGAGGCGTGAGAGGTTGACCATGGCGGGTCAGAGGAGGGGTAGAGGGAGGCCTAAGAAGTACCGGTGAGGTGATTAGGCAGAACATGGCGCTACTTCAGCTTACCGAGGACATGACACTCGATAAGAGGGTGTTGAGGTCGAGGATTAGGGTTGTGGGTTAACAGGCAATCTAGAGTTTCGTCTAGTCTTCGCAGTAGTATTAATAATAGTCTTGTATTTTCCTATTCTTAGCCCCATGGTGTCATTATTTCCAGCAAGATTGACTCTATTATTGTAGTGTTATATTCTTAGATCTTTGTTATTGTACGTATCTCCATTTGCGCCCATGTCTAATTACCTTGTTGCTACTGTCTGTTTATTGTTTCATTTTCACTTCTCTTGAGCCGAGGGTCTTTCGAAAACAACCTCTCTACCGTAATAAGGTAAGGGTAAGGTTTGCGTACACTTTACCCTCCCCAGACCCCACTTGTGCGATTTTACTAGGTTTGTTGTTGTTGTAAGACAAACTATATGCACGGTAAGCTCAACACTCATAGAAGAATGAGGGAGAAGTGAATTGGATGATTGATGCCTAAATGCAAATACGTCGAATATCTAGGCTTAGTTTACAATGTAAATGAGATGATAGATGAAGATGTCAAATATTAAACTAAAATAGGATGGCTGAGATAGAGCAATGCTACACAGTGACTCACAAGTTCTATATGAAAATTGTAAAACCGGTAATGTTATATGGGAGTGAAGGTGGCATCTAAGTTCTTGCCTATATACAAGATGAGTGTCATAGAAATGGACGTTAAGATTGATGTGTAGTCATAAATGATTGGACAATATTAGAAATAATCACATCATGCAAAGTGTGCAAGAAGCACACATAGAGATCGAAATAACAAGACGCATGAGATAGTTTAGCCATGTCCCACATAAACCTCCAATGTACTGGTTAGTAAGTATAACATTATGGTGATTAAAGGTGCTAAAAAGGAGAAAGGTAGACCTAAGAGTAATCTCAAAAGAACAGGAATCTCCCGAAATATATAAGAACTTAGGTAAGAGAAAACATAATGGCGCAATGAATTCAAGAGATTTCAGTTAACTGGAGTTAATTCTTAGTTATTGTCGCACCTTACGGCAGGTCCGATGTTTGCTAAGAGTCTTTTTAGTATCATTAGAGACTAGACATTGAATGATAAGTGTGAAGATTCAGATAACCTCTAAAATGCTTTGGAACACAATTTTACTAGCAAGAGAATGAAATAGCCTGAATAGAACGGAAAAGATGCAGAGGATTCGTATAGTTGACACTTACTAGTTTAGAATTGATGCATATTGATTGATAGATTGAAAATATTGATGCAAGCAAGTTGCTAAGAAAATCATGTCTTACGCTGAGACGTGTTACTGAGTGCTCAACGAGCTTTCACCAAGAAAGATGAAATGAACAAACCTCATCCCCAAAAAATGAGATGAACAAAGCACAAAAGAAAAAAAGGTGTGCAGAAGTGTCTCTACTTTCCCCACTGAGACTAAATAGACCTTTGGATGAAAGCTTTAGACAGGAAAAAGACCAAAAACTTGGGAATCAATCTCTAAGAAGTTCACCTGTTTTTAGAAAGAAAAGGAAGAAAGTAAAATTTCTAAGAAATTTCCTTTGCTAGTACCAAGATAATTTTGGTAACAATTAAATAAAAGAACAAAATAGGTGGCATACATATATATATATACACATCACAACTTTTTTGTTTGTAATTCCTTTGGCTCCTAAATTTAATGTCTGGTCTAGTCTTCCTAATTGAAGATCTAGGCTGTTAGTGTAAGATAGATGTCTTCCCTAATTCTTTTTCAGTAAAGAGAATAGATGACCTGAAAGATTCTGAAAACAGATGCAAGATAGCGAAGAGATGAAGGGGATCGCATCAGATTAGATTAAAACATATATTCAATTAGAAATCATGGAAGCAACTGGCAATGGAAACTGTAGATCTATGATTATAAGCAGCAGCAATAACTTCAAGCCCAAGTTAAGCACAAGAGATTTCTTTCTTTAGAAGGTCTTGAGAAAGAATCGTAAATTCAGAAATGCTCCCTGGTAATTAGGAAATGCCTAATAGTGCTCATGCACACAGCAGAGGATTCAACTGAACTCGTAGGAAGAGCATATAAACCACATGTCATCGTATCAGCAAGACAGGATCTTACTGAAGAAGCTGAGCAAAGAGGAATCAGCAACAAGATACTGAAATTCCATGCAATGTGAGCTTGACAACTGATAATAGCTAAAGTTCCGTATAAAGTTAAAAGAGCATGGGAGAGTAGGAGAAATTTGGAAGCCATATTCACCAAAAGATAAGAACTGACGAAAGACCATCAAAGGAAAGACAATGCCCTATGAAGTTCTAACCCAGAGCAGATTGAAAAGAGCCTGTCAGGCAACATGGCTGAACCTAAATAGGCAGAAAACAGAACAAGCGGTCCAACTTTATGAACAATCTTTGCAAGCGTTCCTACAGAGAAGAAATGTATCAAACCTACGCAATGACACACTCTCTCCAGCACGAGAACCTACCATATCCTAGAGAGGAACTTCTGAAGAAGGAACCTCGACATTTAGTCAAGGTCACACCTCCAAAAAGAGATGTGTCCTTATTGCTCAAGTGGCCATTATAAATGCCTGAATCAAGTTTTCTGCAGCACGCTTCTGTTCCTGTGTACCAGATATTATAGCAATTTGATCACCTCGAGAGGATTTGGAATCAATTATGTCCACAGCTGCTCCGGATATCTGCAGAGGACCCGTGACTTTAAGAAAGCAAGCCAACCATAGCAGAATAGTAAGATACAGAACTTTGAATGCGATTCAAGATAAAACAACTAGTACATAAAACCCACATATGAAGGCATTCATGCAACACAAAAAAAAACGAAAAAGTTCATTTGTTATTTTTCTTCTTCGGGTTGAGGAGGCTGCACATACCAAAAAGGTTGTTACAGGAAAGTGTCCGTGACAATAATAAACAGCCTTGACTACAATAATGTAATTGACATATCAAGAGTAGTAGAGATGCAGGATGAGGTATATGAAGTTAGTTTTCACAATTCAAAGGCCAGACCATTTCAACAACCATGTAAACTTGACAGTCAAAGAAAATAAGTGACGGTCATAAAATCAAGTTTCAAACAGGGCGCAAAAAATTACTGACCTTGCGAATATTATCTATGTTTGAGCCACCTTTACCAATAACTTTACCAGCTGCATGTCCAGGGATAACCATCTCTAGAGCTGTGGGTGGAGGCGGTCTGCTCAAAGACATGATATAGCTCAGAATAAAATGACATAATGCTTCAGAAAAAAAGAAAGATAAATTAATTGATCATCATAAAGTACTAACCCGCCATATATCTTTGAGGAATATGAAGAGTACGCTCCATAGCCATCATCCCCCCTCTTCCAACAGAAAAAGCAGTGTAAATAAGCATTCAGGAATAACGAAAGTTAAGAGAATAAATGATGCTGAACAGTATTCAGCAAGAAGCAGAATCCATGGAACCACATGTAGATATCATAAAAAATAAATAAACTAACAAAATAAAGGGAAAAAAGTTAAGCGGTGCAGGGCAGGGCGGTGGACGCAGGTGCAGATGCGGAGCGGGTGAACGCAGGTGCATTTGCTATGCGAGGCGGGTTGAAATTTTGCGGGTTAAGAGAAAACCCGCCTCGCACCCGCACAGCTTGCCATCCCTAGCTATTCCAATAAAAATGAGTTCACTACACCCCATTCACTGCATGATGAACTCATGAATGACAATGAACCTTCTACTTTTTTGTATTTCTTTCACGTCTTACTTTCCTTTGGGAAGGAGTTTATTCTTCTTTTTGTTTGTTTTAGAAAACTTTTTCCCTTGTCGGCAAGAATTCACCGACAGTCAATTCTCAAACATGGGCCGTGAAGCAAACCAGTTGTAGATCTTCCCATCCAGCGGACCAGCTCAACTGTTGATGTTAATATGTTCTCACACAAAACTAGCAGTATCCTCAAAAACCAGCTTCAAACTGAAAGCCTAATTACCCTGCTTAACTTCCTTACTCTTTCCATATGAACCATAAGAACTCTCAAGCTATTTCTCTTTTTTTTTCTTGGGGGTGGTGTGGGGGCAACAGAATTCTCAATTATCTATCAAGCCAATTCTTCTACTAAAATGACCATTGCAACCTCAATGCTTACCATTTAAATGACTCTTTACGACACAACTTTAATGATATTAACATATCAAATGGTTTCTCTCCTTTGCCAAAGCAAGATAACTTTAGTCTACATAATTTCATCAAGTACCACTCAGACATTCACCAGTTCCAAATGCTTCATTTCTGAATCAACTTGTAGCAGCTATTTCAGAAAATTAACAAAAAATGAAGAGAGAAAATATCAACTGAAGATGCACTTTATAAGGCCACAACTTGATTAAGAATGGAGTTTGAAATGCCCAGATGCACCATAGCATGAAATCAAACTTTGTGGAAGGCAAGTAATGCAGAAGTATACCGAGAATGACTCATGACCATAGAGGCTGCCCGAAGAACGCATTCCAAGGCCATTTCCAGTCTCACCCCTGTGTTCATAGCTCAAAGAAGCGGTCGGAGGAACATTGGGCAAAACTGGAGCCAGTGAATGACCAGTACCACCAGCGCGTAAAGAATCAGCATCGGCAGATGGATTAAAATTACCTTCTCGGCCTTTCAGAACATCATCTCTGAGCCTCAGTACAATCTGGATAAGGGCATCCCTCACACTACTAATTTCCCCAGCCACCTACATTTTTATAATGATGGTCAGTGACTCGAGGAAATTTACAGATAAGCAATTAAAATACAACTCAATTGATTACAACTAATATGAAAGACAGACCTCAACAAGTTCATCGTTTGAATCTGCACACTTGGGCTTCTGGCCTTTCGAGATACGTACATCAGCTCTAGTTCTCTTCCGGATTTCATTAACGATTGAACCACCTTTCCCAATGATACATCCAATGATCTTTGATGGAACAAGTAGACGAAAAGTTACACTATCCTCATCTTCATCATTTATTTTCCCTTGCAGCAGCAAGACAGCCTCAACTGCCATGGATTTAAGATCATCCACTGACTACAGAAAACCAAATGCTGAATAAGGTTAATACATGGAATACAAGACGCCCGAGATGAAACAAACTATTTTGATATAAAGCTAATTGCAAAAGCTACATAAACAACCAACTAAATACAGTTACTATATCAAAAACGACAAATCAATACTATCCACCTCCTCAGCAATCAACACATTTACCAATTGGAAGAGCTGTTACTGGCCTACCATGAAAGACCTCAAAGTTTAGAAGGGAGGAAATGTGCCTAGCATTTTGTTTCCTTCTAGTAAGGATAAACACAAAAAAAAATGAAATCCTATCAGCAATGGTTACTCTGTGAAAGTTTGTTTCACAATGATCTAGGAGAAGAAAAGCACATGCAAAGATAATACCCCATATTAGCAGGAGAGGTAAGCAATGCATTGTTCCTAAAAAAAAGAAGGCAGACTTACTAAAAGGTCAAAATGTCACCAACACAAGCACAAAAGAAGTCTGGAGAAAAAAGCAATACCTCAGTGGAAATGACTGTGATGATGCACTGATCACGATCGGCTTTGGCATCACCAACCTCAATTCGAGCACCACTTGCTTGCCTTACACTTTTAATAGAAGCTCCTCCTTTTCCAATAACACGACCAATATTGTTAGTTGGACACAACACTCTAATAGTCAATTCCTCAGTTTGAGCGGCACCACCACCATAACCAGAAACCATGGGAAGAGCAGAAGAATAAACCGGCCATGCGCTTCCTGCATCTACATAACCTGGAAGCTCTGGTATGTGTGTGGTGCCTAAAACAGATGGAACAGATCTAGATGGGATAATAGGATCCACATTTTGATAAATCCCAGCTGCTGGATATATGGGAACATCTGAAGGGATAATAATGCTTGGACGAACTTCAGGAACATTAGTATTAAGAGGAATATCTTCCTTAGGTGTGAACTTGTACATGATTGCAGAAACAGCAAAGAGCGATCTCTTTACTGATTCTGAGTCACCAGTTATCTGAGTCAAAGTAAAAAAAGCTGTCAATTCATGTTATAAACTACAACACTTAAACACCGAAATTTCAAAAAAAAAGGAACATTTTCTTGATAGGAGCAAATGTAAATCTATAAGCTTTGCCTAATGCACTAACACTATTTAACTATCACCAAACAATAAAAACAACTAACCAGAACGAAGTTATCAAACTCGAGAGCACAGGAATGTGTTGGATCGCTAGCATCTTTAGCAATAACTTTAATATTAGCCCTCATCTTGCTTCTCAACTTCTTTATGGTGGTACCAGATTTACCAATGATATTTGCAGACTGGCTTGATGGAACAAGAAGCTGACACTCCTCTTTTTCCTTACGCTTCTTATCAGAATCTCCAACAGCTGCCAAAGCATTTGCAATTGCCGCATAAACCCTAAGAAGAGCATCCTGAGCAGAGCAAAGAGGTTTTTTCTCATTGAACTCCTCGTCAACCTCAACATCTTCCTTTTCTTTTACATAGCAATAAATGATTATAACTCTATCCTTAGCACCTGGAAATGGGTCCACCACCTTGACCTTCGCCTTGGTCTCGGCTCTAATCGAATTTATAACTTTCCCATTCTTTCCAATAACACTACCAATCACATTATCTGGGCATAGAATTCTGTACACTACTAGTTCATCATCGCCTTTCTCATCTCTCTCTGTCCTCCTCTTCTGGTTCTTGCTATCCCCGTCATCCCTACGCGATCGTTTTCCAGTCTCACCCATAATTTACTACAAGAATTGGCCCAAAATCCACCACAAAGTTAATAAACATAATTAACCAGTTATACACAGTCTTGATAAACAGAAAAAACGCAACAAACACAAACTGCTTAAGTATTACACATTCCAAAAAAAAAATATGATTTTCAGACCTGACTATTCCGCCAGGTATCTGCTAGTCCCCGCCAGCACAGATACCGGGCTACCACCAAGGTTTAGGCAGGTAGGAAGAAATCACCTACTATTTTTTGCCCCTTCTAAGATTTGAGGTTCTGCTCCCACTTCATTGACTACTCGGCCACACTTCCATGTGTAGGCACTTCCACACATCTTGAAGAGGAAATAGATCAATAGTGAAAAAACCCTTAATAACAAAATCAAATTTTCACAATTTTTCTCTCTTCCATCTTCCTCCTTAGTGATTAAGCACATGATAACAAATATTAAAAAATTACAAAAATAAATTGCTCATCAACTATGCCTCAATACTTTTAAGTCAAGTCAGCTATATGAATCCTTTGTAACAGGGGAAAAAACACATCGAATTAGATAAAAATCGGTCCAATCAAAAATAAATAAATAAATTGGAACTAATCTTGAAGAATTAAATAAATTAAGGGGCAAAGCAACATAACACATACAAAACCCTAGCTACTAAAAAGATCCAAAAGAGAAAAGCACCATAATCTACAAATTAAAAAGAAAGTAGAAAAAATTAGAGTATGAGGGTCATAAAGAATATGTACCTAAATTTGGTTAAGGAAGAAAAGAGTTACACAATTGACTTGTAGCAAAAACCCTAAATGTTGATATGATTCAAGTGTATATAGAATTTTAGGTATATGTCAGAGATAAGCGAGAATGGGATTGGGGGGTTGGGGGGGGGGGGGAAAAAG